ATATTAAGAACACTTGTCATTTTAAAAGCACTAGGCAAGACAGACATTAACAGGTACCAAGTGGGCAGTGCACACAAAAGGTCACAGCACAGTATTGTTGACAATACCAAAGATGAGTAGTGCTAAGTTAATTACGTGCAATTATTTCATAATGTTAAGGATATCCAAATTACATAAGGCTCCAATCACAGCACAATGGTAAATATGCTGGAAGCCATTAAGAAACAACTATGATGACTGATTGTAAACTTGTATTATTAAAGTTTTGACAAAAATATCGGGCTTTTAACTACCAGAACTTTACAATACTGTCCTGTAAGTGCTTCTTAGCTATACAAAACAAAAAGGCTAACACATTAGTTTTTTGGATTTTTGTTATTGTTAGCAAAGAGCACATACCAAAACAAATACACTACTTCCCAAAATGACAACTACAGCAAAAGACCATTACTAAGAAAGCTCTCCTCCAAGCAGCACTTCTCAAACATAGCTACAATTTAGAATCATATAGGGATCTTTTAAAATTACCAATACATAGCACCCACTCCAGACCAAATAAATCAGAGTATCTGGGGATGGGTACAAGTGTTCTAAAAAGTTCCCGAAGTGATTCTAATGTATAGCCAGGGTTAAGAACCACTGTAACAAGGAAATCTAAGCCCTCCATGTTATTCATCTCATACAGAGCTGTTGTCCTTAATTGTCTGAAAAAGTATTCATTTTATTCAGCCAATTTGCAAACCAAGAGAATAAGACAGATAGAACCCTTTAACTACTAAAAATGGTATTAATTATAAGTACGCTTAGCTAAACATGTTAGGCAAAAATCAAGGCAAAGGAATTCCATTAATAATGTTTTAGACAACATGTCAAATATGCCAATAAACAAACTATTTCCATTTTTCAAACTGTAGACTTTACAAGCTGTTGAAATGGTGTTATGCTTTCTGATGCATTCAAGAGCCCACTAATTCCAAACAGCCATACTGAAACAACTGTCAACCTTAAAATTTAAAGTCCTAAATGTGTTGCAAAAAAAAACCTAAATAAAGATTACTTAAACTGGGCCGGGCACAGTGGCTCATGCCTATAATCCCAGCACTTTGGGAGTTCAAGATGGGTGGATCACTTGAGGTCAGGAGTTTGAGACCAGCCTGGCCAACCTGGTGAAACCCTGTCTCTACTAAAAATACAAAAATTAGCCGGGTGTAGTGGTGGGTACCTGTAATCCCAGCTACTTGGGAGATTGAGGCAGGAGAACGACTTGAACCCGGGAGGTGGAGGTTGCATTAAGCCAAGATCATCCCACTGCACTTGAGCCTGGGCGAGAGAGCAAGACTTAATTTTAAAAAAAAAAAAAAAATTACTTAAACTGAACTCTAAGGTTGCATAACTGCCAGAGCAAACCTTTTCATGGTTTCATGCACATGCTATCTCTGAAAATACTGTCAGAACTCCGAAATTCAAATGCATGCCTACATTTTTGTATTTGGCTACTTAACTGTTTTACAGGAAAACGAAATAAATTAAGCTTCAGAAACAAGCATTAAAATATGCTGCTGTAGCTAGGGCACAATGGCTCACGCCTGTAATCCCAGCACTTTGGGAGGCCAACGCAGGTGGATCAATTGAGGTCAGGAGTTCAAGATCAGTCTGGCAAACATGGTGAAACCCCATCTCTAATAAAAATACAAAAATAAGCCAGGCATGGTGGCACAAGCCTGTTATCCCTGCTAATCATTTGAACATGGAAGGCAGAGGTTGCAGTGAGCAGAAATAGTGCTGTACTTCAGCCTGGGCAACAGAGAGAGACTCTATCTCATTAAATAAACAAATAAATAAATAAGCTGTTGTGTTTCCCCAAAATACTACTACGGGTCCACATCTTTTATTTAAATCCTTGAGAATAAATGCACTTCAGAATGTTTCGGATTTTGGAAAGATAACCCACTGTTTATACTCAAATAGACCCTGTAGGGTCTAAAACAGCACCAATAACCAAACAAATTAATATTCCAAGAGCAAAACATAACTTTTCTAAGTGAGATAAAGATTATTAAGTAGCATCCTGTCAGTACAAGTCAGCAAATTATTTTGCAGCAAACTTCTGAAAAAACTTCCTTTTCAGAGCTTTGTATGAAGCAGTAGTTTGAGACTTCTCTTTGAGATTCAAGAAACTGCAACTGAGCTGCAGAAAAAAGTCACTATGATGAAAACATCCTTTTAATACAGCTGTAATTCTACAGAAACAGCTCCAGTTATTAGGGTAAATCCATGAAAAAAGCCCAAATGGTGTCCAACAATTTTCATAATCATTAGAATAGCATTTAAGTGCTCCCCTTAATTTTCATAACACGATTTTGAGACCAAACAAATACATCAAAATATGTGTATTCACTAAGGCAAGCCTGAAGCAGAGAGCCAGATGTAAAACGGGCAAATCAACACCCCCATAGTTCACCTAACTTTCTATCTAGCAGTATGGAAATCACACAGAGCTCTGAAGCTAAGCGACTAATGTTCTAATCCAAACTCAACCATACAGGAAAATTACTTACATACTCTACCCCCAGTTTCTTTATCTGTAAATGGAGATAATAATAGAACCTACCTCACTGCATTTTTCAGAGGATTAAATAAAACCTCAAGTCCACAATTTACAAATAGTATTAATTCCCTCCACCTAAACTACCACCGCTGTTTCAAAGACACTTATATGCTGAAGGGGGTCAAGTGTGACTTGCTGGCAGGGTGCAGCAGCTCACGCCTGTAGTCCCAGCACTTTGGGAGGCCGAGGCAGGCAGATCACTTGATGTCAGGAGTTCGAGACCAGCCTGGTCAACATGGTGAAACCCCATCTCTACTGAAAATATGAAAATAAGCCAGCCATAGTGGCTCACGTCTGTCATCCCAATTACTTGGGAGACTGAGGCAGAATTACTTGAACCCAGGAGGTAGAGGCTACAGTGAGTCAAGATTGACCCACTGCACTCCACCCTGGGCAACAGAGTGAGACTGTCACAAAAAATAAATAGTATGATTCGTCTATGAAATCAGGTGAATTTTATAAAACCCACCATGAAAACATGACTTTCAAGTTTCAAAAATCCATCCTGACACGGTGGCTCAAGTCTATAAGCCCAGCTACTTGGGAGGCTGAAGCAGGAGGATGACTTGAATCGAATTCAAGACCAGCCTGGGCAAATAATGAGGCTCTCCCTGCTTTAAAAAAAAAACAAAAACGAAAAACTGCAAAAATCCAATGTAGATTAAAAAATGATGGCTAATTTCTGAAATCAGGGCAGAACATTTTTTTTATATACCTTTGTTCTGCCTGATCAAAACACATTCTAGCCAAAACTACCTACCCTCTCCCAATACCCTTTTGTCTTCTACACTACCGATCGCACACATAATGGTTGTTAGATGAAAATAAGCTACTGAAAGTGGACCCTTTTAACTTGAAATACAACAACCAGAAGAATGGCCTAGGTTTTACAGAAAAGAAAAGCCATTACAGTATTAAGACTTCACTTATGCACAACCACGGCCTAAAGAACCTACGCAATTTTTTTGTTTCCTTTTTCAACATCAAGGAAGAACCTACATGATTTAAGTGCACTTAGGAAATAAGGTACCACAGTCCAAAAATCCAAATTTCATAAACTACCCATTGAGTAACAAAACTATTAAGACTGGTAACTTTGGACAGATTTTTGCATCTAATCGATTTTTAAACTTATTGTCAAATGTACAAAATAATGGAATCTTTTGTTACTATTTATCCTAAATTTATTCTAGTTCTATTCCAACTGAAGAATGTTAGTTTCCTGCAGACCACATGGAGCAGAGGGTAAAAAAACGAATGTTACAGGGCACTGAATCCATCTGGAAGTTCTGAGCTGATTCAACGCTTCACTGTTAACAACTGCCCCAGAGTATATTAACATGGACAACTAGACCTCCAGCATACCCAATGTAAGAGGAGATATTTAAGCAAGCTAGCATAGCTCTTGTGAAACAGAAAGCTTTCCCTAAGTTGTTAATACTCAAAACCTACTCCTTACTGTTAACACCACCATAAATAACCCATTAGGCCCTCGCAGTTACATCAGCTTTAAGAATATCATCTGCCATATGTCCTAGCAGAGTGCAACAAATGGATGCAAACATTACCCAAACTTAAAGTGAAATATGAAGAGAATCTGTTATTCTGTGCTTTAATTCGATGTTGTTTAATGTGAAAAGATTGAGAACCAAAAGCAAATGGACCCACTACCTCAAAATTCCCTAAAAGATTAATTAAAAGAGACTTAATCCTTCATACTTGCACTTTTTCCATCACAAACAGGAAACTCCGAAGGGAAACAGAAAAAAAGCCTATTTTTGCTAAGAGGAATAACGGCATTGCTTCCAACCCCCACAGTGTGTGAACAAATGAAAAAGCAACGGGAGGAAGTGACGGGGGTGGGCGGTGGAGAGCTCAGCTGGAGTCCTAAGCATGCCACCCGGCTCAGAGATGCCCTAAAACATCTGTGGGAGCAGCTGCAACAGGAAAACGGGAGTCGGGGGAGTAGGGCCGCGAACTGGAGGGACTGAGAGTTGTGCCCGCACCTTCGGTCTCTTCCTTGGCCAACTCCCTGCTCACCTCCCAAGTCCCCATCCTCCCCATCCCATCCCGCTCCCTCCATAAAGAAAAATCCCCAATAAAAGCAGAGGCAGGGAAGACAAAGAGGCAGGAGGAGGTTGCAAGGAGCGTCCAGAACAATGGAGAAGATGGAGCGAGTAAAACTCCTGAGGACAATAAAGGGAGGTGGAGAAGCGCCGAGGGAAACACCGGGGTCCCTGACCCCGCCAGTGGCGGACGCTGGCACAGGCCGGGCTGCGCGGTCCGTGTCACCCCGGACGCCGCGGGCTGGGCCAGGCGGGCGGGCGCCGCAGGGCCCGGGGGTGCTGGCTGGGCCTGCGCTGGTCGGCGGGCAGCGACCGGCGGGACTCACCGGCATTCTGGTCTCGGGGCCAGAGGTAGTATGTGGCCGGGATCACGATGAGCCCCACGAAGGAGGTGAGGAAGTAGAAGAAGGTGTTCCCACTGTCATCGTACTGGAACTGCTGCCCGGCCATGGCACCCCCTCCTCCTCCTCGCTCTTCTCACCGCCGCCGCCACGACCACGCTCTGCACTCCCGCTCCCAACGCCCCGGCCCGAGTGGCGTAGCTTGGACGCCGCGGCCGCCGCCGCCTCCCCTCCTTGCCCCCACGCTACCCTCCCCTACACGCCGCTACCGCCGCCGCCGCCGCCGCCGCCGCCGCCGCCGCCGCCGCTGCCGTCGCCAGCTCTCGCGAGAAGAGATAGTTCTCGCCCCGCTCAGTTTTCCCTCCCCTTGCCTGTCCCCCACACGCTCGCTAAGGGAGACGTGGCGAGCGCTACGGTGGAACTCGGAGAGGTCTCGCCCTTAGCCCCGCCCCCAAGACAAAGCCACGCCCCCGAACTCCTCCCCTAGGGCCCCGCCCCTGGCCCCGCCGCCTTCCTCCACCGCTCAGTTTCCCCGCGCCCCAAGCTGGATTCCGGCCGTCGGCCTGTAGGATCCCAGCGAAGGCTTCCCGGCGTAGCAGCGGCCGCGGGCAGGTCTCCTGGCTGTGACTGGGGTCCCAGCTATTCAGAGAAAAGCTGACTTGCTTGCCTCCTCCTCTCTTCCATCCCTACCCTAGCTGTCCTGCCCTCTCGATTAATTGCCCTAGTTGAACGTGTTTCCTTGGGTTCTGGATCCGCTCCTCCAGCCCCCATATTTTGGAAACAAGTGTCATTTAGCATAGGGGGTGGAGAGATGTGGATTGTAGTTGCGTTTGCAAAGCAGTGTTTACTATTAAAAGGTTGGAATCTACGCTGTGCCCATTTTGCAGATGAGGATTTCCCCAAGCCCTTACAGATGGCGCCCTACCCATTTCAGAGCTGCTAATTATAGCCACCAACCCAGGCGGTAGGCTGAGACCTTTATTGCTTTGTGTAATTTAATCGTCAGTAAAGCCCATGGAATATAGCAAAGTGTGTCCGCTCTACAAATGAGAAAATTGAGGCTCAGGGAGACCCACATCATTTTGACGCCACAAAGCTAGTGTGCCCTTGACCCTGCATCGCCCAGGACCTTAACATTTCCTACAGGGTTGGCATTCTCCCCACAGGCTGTGAACAAGAACCTGCGTTCCAGGCTGGACGGTGGTGGGAGCAGTCACTCTCCGGAGCCCCTCCTTCCCCTGGCCTTTGGACCCTAGAGGCTGGTGTCAGCTAAGCTGGGTACTGGGCTTGTGCCCAGATCTTGGAACGGCCCCGTGGTCCAGCGGCAGCTGTGGCTGGGGTCTGTCCCAGAGTCCATTGCCCCTCCCTGGTTCAAAAGGATAGCCCAGCTAGTTGTAGACATTAGAAGGAAAAAGTATGTAATATGCAAATACTAAATATTACACTATATTTTAAAGACATTTTAATACTTTATACTCTGTTAACTGAATGCATTTTATTATTCCTTCCATTGTTTGAGGAAAAATCTGGGGTTGCTCATTGTCTTTTATTTCATGTCTTCAAAACCAGTATCTATCATAATCAGTAATACTTTCATAATAGGTTGTGTTCATATGTATTCTCTCTTCCCCTCAAAGTTCCTATCTGCTCACTTTGAAAGGAAATCTCTGAAATTCATTTCTATGCATTTCTCCCCCCCCTTTTTTTCTGCACAAAGTTTCCAAACTATATTATAGGTGAAAAAATAAAACCAAAAAATGAAGGGAAGATTGGACTATGAGATCAACATAGCATTGTGATCACCCAAAGCTGATATACCCAGAGTGAACAATTTGCCTTGCTTCAGAAAATTAGTCACAGACTTGTCTCAGCTAAAGTGAGCAGGATCCTGAAGTTCCTTTTGTTTGTTGGATATATTATTAAGTCTTCCTGGGTTTTAATAAAGTTGAACTTTTTTTTATTACTCCTATTATGTTTTACTCAGCATTTGTGTAAAGGTAATACATCAGTTTTGTAAACTTGCAGCAATATAAGTGATTGATGAATAATACTTCCCTTCTTTCTTTCTGCAGGAATACTTTCACTGCAGCTTTGGGGTCATGCCTAAGAGTGCCTTGAACCAAATTGAAATAGCAATTTGAAAAAACCCTGACCAATCTAAAATGGGATTTTTTTAACCAAAGTATGTTCAATATTTGAAAATGTATTCTCTATTTTCAAAAGTATACATTTTGTTTACCTAGAACTTAATGTTACCGAACACAGATAATCTCAGACCTCTCAAACATTCTCCAAAGCAAATCTAAATCATACCTTTAATTAATTTCATCGCAATTTCTGATTCACACTGATTTTTTTTTTTTTTTTTTTTTTTTTTTTTTTTTTTTTTTTTTTTTTTTTTTTTTTTTTTTTTTTTTTGAGACGATCTCGTTCTGTCGCTCAGGCTAAAGTGCAGTGGCATGTTCTTGGCTCACTGCAGCCTCTGCCTCTGGGTTCGAGCAATTCTCATGCCTCAGCCTTCCGAGTAGCTGGGACTACAAGCAGGCAGATCATTTAAGGCCAAGAGTTCAAGACCAGCCTGGCCAACATGGCAAAAACCAGTCTCTACTTAAAAATACAAAAATTAGCTGGGCGTGGTGACAGGCGCCTGTAGTCCCAGCTGCTTGGGAGGCTGCAGCAGGAGAATCACTTGAACCGAGGAGGTGAAGGTTGCAGTGAGCCAAGATTGTGCCACTGCATTCTAGCATGGGTGACACAGTGAGACCATGTCTCAAAACAAAATGAATAATTAAAACAGGCAAAT